TGTGTTGGTGGTTCGGCTCGGCGAGTCCAGCTTTTGTCAACCGCGCTTAAACGGATGCATGACGGAATACATCGGTTAGTAAGAAGCTTGATGAAATACTGGTGTATCATATACCATAATGCGCCATACATTGTTATACATCATACACCATATAATGCACCATGTATAATACATACAATAATTGCATGCGTTATAGTTGCTAAGGTGATGTCACGGAGGCTTACGGTCGCCTGTTTTTGTAATTGCCAAGGGATTATGGTATTGGGAAGGAGCTTATAAAGCAGTCACCGGTAATAAAGGACTTGTTAGTGGACCCATTAGGCAGTAAACAACCACTCGCGGTGGCCATGCGCTAAGTCATAGAACTTTTATGTCGACGCTGAAAGACGGTACTTAAGAAAGTAGATATACCAAGATGAAATTCGTAACCAAATAAAATACACAGGAAAGCCATACATATCGAGGCCGAAACAATAAATTAGTTTTTAAGGGAATCGGAACACGATTATTTGATATATTATTTTAACATGAATGACGCTTGTTCCAAGTGCAGTGATATCACGTGACCTACAAATGTATATTGTCTCCATTCATGCTATCAACTTAAAGGAACACCAGGTCTTAGATTCACATTGCTGGGTAGCGTCAGTTCCTTTTAACTCTAAGTATAAAAATGCAGCAGGTTGAGTCATTTTCTCCGCTCAGCATTCCAAACTAGTTTGAAAGACTATGTTCCTGAGAAACACCTCGCTGAACCTAAAAAATCAAGGTTGCTTGGAGACGCAGACAAAAAAAAAAGAATACAAAAGGACAAAAAATAGCATCGGTTTCTTTCAACTCTAAGTATAAAAATGTTAGTAGGTTCAGCCATTTTCTTCCCTCAGCCTTCCAAACTAGTTTGAAGGACTGTGTTCCTGAGGAACACCTCGCTGAACCTAAAAATCAAGGCTGCTTGGAGTTTCAAACAAAGTTTTTGTTCTGGATGCTAACTTTGGAATCACTTTAGACTGTTTATTGGTCCTTGCTGGATCTCGATTTAGTGCTGGACTACATATTGTTTTTTTCCGGATCTCTGCACGCTCCAGGATGGATATGGGTTGTTGCTGGATCTTTCAGCATGCTGCTAGGCTGGATCTGGTTTTTGCTAGTCCTCTTGGCTTGGTATCAGGCTGAATATTGGTTCTTGCGGGATCTTTCGGCTTGATGTCAGGCTGGATCCTGTTTTCTTTTTAGATCTTTCGGCTTAATATGATGCTGAATCCTGGTTCCTGTTGGTTCCCTCGGTCCAAACTCAGACTGGTTCCTGGGTTCTTTCTAGTTCCGAAACCAAGACCAGGTTCAGAAAGAAATCTTTGAAACCGGGCACATCTTTGGTTTTGGGTAACGTCAGCGATAATGAAAAACGCAGCTATGGCATTGATGCTGCTGTCTATGCCGGCGAAAACTGATTTTGAAGATACTATGCCATTCGTCAACCTCGAGTGGGAATGGTTGGATCTGATGAATAAGTCCTCTCCATTGGTATTCTATCGCATTCAGATTGGCAGATCTATTCTAGCATATACATCAGACAAAATGAAAAATTACTTAGCCGATGGCCAAGCAAGTCAACCGATGAGTGCGAATTGGATGACGGCTATCCGTCTTATCGTGTGTATGCATATGATTGAGATCTCCACAAGCAGTGTAGCTGGTGACAGATATCAGCTACAGTGGCTCCTGCTAGTGGTGGGAGCTGGTTGGCAGAAGACCAGGATATTTAAGAAGCGTACGCTGTAGACTCTTCGATGTGAAGTGATGTAAAATACACGACGTGCTCAAAAGGATCATGCCACGGAATAATGCTGTGACGTGTTGGTTTGTTTGGCACGTGCATTTCTATTTCGCCTGCCTCGATAATTTCTGTTGTCTTAGTTGAGGTCGAACAAAAGACATCAGAGTCAAAAAGAGGTCAGATGAGGTTGAAGAGAAATCGTATGAGCTCATATCACGAACTTTCTACACAAACCATCGAACAACTTTCGTCGTCAGGATTCGTTTGCTACCCAATTCGACGCAATTTTATGGTTCTATTTTTAAGCACTACTGCACACCCCTCCCTCTTCCTAATTTCCATAACGTTATGGTCAAATGATACGCCAGATAGATGTTGTTGTCGAACATGTGAAATGGACATGGTAAGGGAGTGCTGGGTTTTTTTCGAGCATTCAGGTTAATGTTGTGGTCATTTTTATGGCTGGCCATTTAAGAGGGAAAATAACCGACAGCTATCAGTCTTAACCTGTTTCCGTAGCCCAAAATATTCAGGAATTTGGCCAAAGTGCAAGTAATCAGCGGGATTCCATTAAGGAGAGTGTATGTTCGTTTAGGCTCGTATGTCACTCACCTGAATATATCAGCGATGGAATGCATATGAAGAACACAGCTATCAAATTTATACGTAGAACATCAGAGCCTTCAACCGCATTCAACATGGCTCACGTAGGTTCGAGCTGCTCGCAGGCTCCACTGCTGCTGCTGTAATAAAACCCGCCTGGCCGGAATGCTTGAAGCAACTGACGCGGTCTGACTCGTCCTTCCCCAACGGGCTCCTCGAGGCAACTGACGCGGTCTGGCTCGACCGTCCCCCGGCGGGCTCCTCGAGGTAACTGACGCGGTCTGGCTCCACATTCCCCAACGGGCTCTTCGAGGCAACTGACGCGGTCTAGCTCGACCTTCCCCAACGGGCTCCTCGAGGCAACTGACGCGGTCTGACTCGACCTTCCCCCAACGGGCTCCTCGAGGTAACTGACGCGGTCTGGCTCGACCTTCCCCCGGCAGACCCCTCGAGGTAGCTGGCGCGGTCTGACTCGACCTTCCCCAACGGGCTCCTTGAGACAACTGACGCGGCCTGACCCGACGTTCCCTAGCTGACTGTTGGGAATAACTAACACTTTGTTCACAAGGGAGGAGGGGAAAGCCTGAACCAAGTCGGGCCTAGGCCTGGCAATCCCACAGTGATTTTGTCACGAATATGCTTGGGGGGCATTTATGTATTGCAGGTATCGCATTACGGTTTTTCGACGCTAGTTTTCAAGCACTTCCAAGCCCTTCTGAACAAAGTCTTAAGCAGATTGCTAATATGTCTCCTAGCCAAACCGGGATGACGCAGATATGGCTTATCACATATTTCAACACACGCCCACATAATTGCATGTTTGTAAGCACTGCACGCATTGCACGCCCACATGTTTGACACCCAATAACGATGAGTTTTGCTCACGCTTGATCAGATGATCACCTTAACTTTCACCGGCCATTTCGGATGTAGCGGCCTAGATGCGGATTACTTCAAACTGGTGAAAACTTTTAACAACCAGCCTGCCGATGGACCGGAAATATTCGGGCGCACAACCAATAAAAAGGCGATAGTGGCTGTTTTCCTTGTTGAGGTGGGAAGGGGTGAAAAGCTACTGATTTACGGGATACCGGCCGAGTGGGCCCGGCCTGAGTATGCGCTGACGGCGGCGGTCCCATTCCGCCGCAGTACTCGCACGCGGAGTGTCACATTGTACTTACTATTTGGACGCCGCTTGAGCGACAGTGTAAGCGTATTTATGGGGGATGCAGCGCGCGCTTGGGCGATGTGTTGTCCGGTTGATTGTTGCCTCTGGTTAAAAGTTGCTTGTTAATGTTTATGATTCTTGAGAATGGAGGATGGTGTACGTTGGTATGAAGACACATGCGTAGGCCCCGCACGTCTAGGTGCCAGAGGGTGTTCATACCTGGGTCAGGGGGACGTTCACTAGGAGGCTGAGTCATCCCCATTAGTGTGAGTTAAGATCTGGCGTAGCAAAACGACTAGACATCAGGGTTAAAACCCGTGATTACGGGTGGAAAGGCATTAAGAACCACCAAACTGAATTAAATTCAGCGGTCTTCAATGGCTCTTGTTCGATACTAGAGTCTCTGGCTGGCCAAGGCCCTCCTACTGTCTCATCGCGGACCATTAATTGTCTCACCCCGGCCAATGTAAGAGGTCTTCAGTAACAACTGTGGACACCAGCCTCGCCCTGCTTCGCAAATGGGACCCCAGGGTCCAAGCCGACCCAGAGACAACTTGCTCGGCATTGGTGGTCTCGGACCTACATAGAAGCCCTTGTCGTCCCGGAGACGCCCGACAGGCGCGAAGAGTCCCTTTGGCTAGCCTTTGAGGGCCAGGCCTTCATCCCGGGGTCGTCCCCCTGCCGGCCGCTCGGGCCCCCGAAGCGGGCTCGTAATACGCGCCCGGTGGCTAGTCGGATGCCTTCGCTCGGGTGGGGGGGGGGGGGGGGGCAATTTAGCCTACTGAGATCTCAGGAACTAAGGGAGCTATATACACCAACACCACAGGGTGCGTTGATCTATACATGAACTTACTTAGGTTCAAGTTGGGGGTTCCTAGTTCGTGACTTTTGGGTCAAATGGGGTCATACAAGGTCAAATTTCAGGTTGGTCTCCAGAGAGCCCTAAAACCTGGATAACCGTTCTAAGGAAAAGTTAACATGCTCATTTAAGGTAAGTGACCTTGTTTGAACTTTTGAAGGTCATGACAACCCAAATCATACAGGATTACCTTGAGGCTTGCGTTTGAATGAGTGACAAAGATTACGCTAGGCAACATGTTCCTAGAAGCAAAATGATGGCCTGCGTTATTTAAGGTCAGAGGCCTATTCTGACCTTTAAAAAGTTCATGAAAGGCGAATAATGCGGCTACTGTTATCAATAAATTCGAAGTGAGCACCAAAAACTAAATATTTTGGTAATGTCTTTCACCAGCTATTCTTTCAAGACATTTCGTTTGCATATTTGGTGAATTCAAACCATTACGGTCAGTAACTTCGTTAACCCGGTCGTGAAAACGCCCATATTAGTGGCAATAATCCAAACGGTGCTGAAACGCCCATTTTGGTGATGGTTTGTCCAATCTGGTCGGTGTACCTATTTTGGTTGTTTTGAATTCATTTTTGGTGACTGGATAATAGGGAGCCAATACGCGGCATTTGGCTGAAGTGGAAATTTGCTGTAGAATCTGGAAATTCGTCGTGTTTGGGGCCACTGTCCGCGGTGCACGTACTCATTGGCTGCTATTCTCAATTCGAAATGGCCGACTCCAAGATTCCTCTGTTTTCATACTCTTCCCTGGTGCATGCAATTGCGGGCGCGGCGGTAAGCACCAAGGACGTGTTTGCCGCTTGGTTCTGTTAAAATCGGCTGTGGCGTTTACTGTGTCAGCCAGTTGATTTCACAGCTCGTCGGACCGATATTTCAAAACTGACATTGTTGTCTGTTATCGTCAACATGACATGGAGTATGAATTACTTGGATCGCCATGAGATCAAACAAAGTGAGCAATTCATAAGTAAGCACAGTGCAGGCCACAAATATTGCACATTATGCCAAACATGTCTAGCATGGCAGCAATGTTGTAGCAACAGCCTTGTATGTATGTACACCATAAATATGAGTGTTCATGGCATGTTGCCTGGTTGCAATCAATTTCAGGGAAAAGACTGTTCCAGGTGTTGGCCTATGGATGATGTTCTGGCTTGGAGAGCTTCCAGCAGTCACTGGCCTTGAGTAGTTCCCAGTGCATCATGGATAAAAAGGCCATTAGGATTCAAGTCTATATCTGAATGGGGGAGTTGGTACATGGCTACCATATCTCCACCTCACCTTCAGTAATGCAGAGAATGTAGCTCATGCCCAGTAATTGTAAATATGGTTTGTTCCTTATGTTTTCCACTATTTTAGTCATGTGCAGTTGTGCCAGTTCCACAAGCTCTTGGTGTGAATGTTACACAGTCCTGAGATGATGCAATTTTCGGTTTTCTTCAAACCACCAGACCAGAGGTACAGGGTTCAATTCCCAGCAGTGCCCGCCCTTCCTGCCAGGGTGAGAGGCAGGCGATGCCATATAGCCTCAGCAGCTGAGTGTGTTGTAAGACCCCAATGACACAAAATGTATAAGTTGATATATAAGCTTATCAGCACTATTTGCTAATTTATGTAGACACAAGTCTCTCATTGCAGTTGTGGACAAACTGAACACTGAGGGCACCCTTTTTCAAACTGAAATCACAGACCTTTTACAACATGTTTGCTTTACCCAAAGCTGTGGGATGAGGAAATTGTCATACTTTTTCCAAATATGACACATGTTAACATTTTGACATGGTGCAGGCGGCTAGGTCATTAGGACGTTCTGCATGTGTGTGTGTGCATGCACACATGTGTATGCATGGGAGTAGGCGTGCGTGCGTGCATGTGTGGGTGTATGTGGGTGTGTGCAGCAAGCAAACAAGCAGGGATCATTATTTCCTGCTCAGCTGACTTCACTCTGCCTGACTATTGAGACACCCCTGTCACTCGACAGACAAAAGGCTGGTTATTATTCCATTGACTGTTTTATTTTACTAAACTAGATTTTATTTTACTAGATGACCCTGATATACCCCAGAGCCGTTCATAACATCATGATACATTTTCTCATAACATTAGATTGAAATGATTATTGGTGACATATCCTGTCTGTTGTCATGCTTGGGAGTGGTTGCTTTCATTATTCTTCCTCTTAATATTTGTTTGTGTCATAATGCCCTATTATTTCAATGATATATATTATATGCATGTATAAATATATGATATACCATAACTTTCAGTGACATTTGTTTGTGTCATAATGCCCTGCCACTAACCTTGAATACCTTTTTACTCATCTACCTGGCATGTGTAGTATCTCTCCTGCTTCCTAGCAGGGAGTGCTGCAGCTTTGCAATTTTCTACTCCTAATATGGTTGTAACTGTTGTGTGCCCTACTGTGGACATGAGCGGGCCATCTTGGTCACCTGTTCATGGGCGATGGGTGGACGGAAAAAATGAGCAATTTGCTGGCAATCACTGTATTCAGTTGCAATTCAAAAATTGCACTGTTGCATATCTGAGGCTGCATAGCAGCAGAGAGCATAGCCCTCATCTTGCTTGTAATCAGGAAAAGGTGTATAAATGAAGCTAACTGGAAAAATGTGCTGCTTTCAGGGAAGCTCAGTGGCGATGTCCTTGACTTACCCCTTGGACACTGTGAGGACACGACTTCAGTGTGAGTATATTACTGAGGGCATGACTGATGCTTTAATAATTGTGTTTGCTGTTTTCATTTCATCATTTGACCATAATGTTGCTGCACGGCAGACATTTTAATAATTGTGTTTGCTGTTTTCCTACTGTAGTGTCTGTTGTCATTCATCACCTGATGTTTCATGACTGTTCCTGACCTCGACAGCATGGCCTACCCTTACTGTCTGGTGGTGATGATTCGAGTCCTAGGGCATGTTGGCTGTCGTGCTCATTATGAGCCTGCTTCCCTGTCTGTGTTAGGTGCTGTCTGTTGGTGTTATGATGTACTGTTTGTCCATCCTTTTGTCATGTCCTTCCCTCGCTATACTTCCTTGCATGTGCGTGAGATATGGCTTGTACAGTGGCTGTATTAGTCGCAGGGTGATACTATTTGCCTGACTATTTCGGTTCATGACCTCCCCTCTGTCTGCATATAATGCAGCTATTGCTCTGCTGTGACTTTTTCATAGTCTGACCTACTTCGGTTCTTGCTCTTCAGTGACTTGCTGTGCCCTGATGATGTCTGCTTGCAGCCTGATGTCTAGTCTGCTTGCAGCCTGATGTCAAGTCTGTTGTGTCTGATGATAAATTGACCTTCTGTGACTCCGTCTCTGAATTGACCCACCCCAGTTGTTGTTGGCCGTAATTTGTCAGTTCTGGCAGCTCCGCTGTTTAGAGCATCTGCCTTCCCATTCACCCACCCATGAAAGAGTGGGCTCAGGTCACTTTAAGGCCTTCCCTGACCTGAACTGACTGGAAACTTTGACAATGTGGACCATATCTGCTTGTAGTTACAACACCTACCCAATGTTTATATTTATGCCCAGACCAAGAGCTGTGTCTGTGCCCCAGCCATCCCCCAGGCTGTTTATTCATGTGTGACTACATGTCTTGCCTTCAGCCTGACCTGATTTCCCTTGGCAAATGGAATTAGTGTCGTGTGTCCATGACCTGACCTGACGTGACCTGCGCTGACTGTCTGTCTGTGACCTGACCTTATGTTCACTGTGCTGTGCCTGCCCATGACCTGGCCTGCATAGGTCTGTTCCGTGATGGCTGATGTTCTCCTATCCTGCTGTGACCAGTGGAGGAGGGCCGGCGCGCGGCACCCACGGCGGTGCTGCTGGTCCAGCTGGCGCGCCAGGAGGGCATCACCAGCCTGTACCGCGGCATCGTCCCTGTCATCCAGTCGCTCTTCTCCTCCAACTTTGTCTACTTTTACACCTTCCATGGCCTGAAGCGGCTGGTGGTGGGCGAACAGAGCGCGCCCAAGGACTTGCTCATGGCCATGACAGCAGGTGGGCGGCCGCGGGCCCGTGACAGACGTGGAGCCTGCTTTGGATGCATTGTGGGCCCTGCTGTACACTGATCAGTCCATGGGGGAAGGGAGAGGGGGCTCCTCTGATGACATGTCTCACGTGTGCTTCAGAGTGCGATGCTATGATTTATAACGTACGTTTGTGCAAAAGAGCTCAGATTTGTTAGTTCACTGGTACTCTGCATGTCTTGGACATGTTGATGTTACATTTCAGTGGGTAATCTATCATGGTATGCCCCTACAACGACGAATCCTGCTTGCGCAATAGTCGTCGTCGACAGCGCCGTCGGCAGGTCCTGACGAACCATAGATGATCGCTAGCGACATTTCGTATCCTTTACTTGGTTTCCCCCAGAGCTGTAAAAATGAATGGGCGTCACCTCATCGATTTTCCCCGTTGATTTTCCCGATTTCCCCCGTTGTGGGAGATCGCCTAGTTGTGTGAGTTGGTGCGGGTCAGGTGTTGAGGTACGGCGTCAGTTCGGCCGTGTTATGCTGACGAGGCGTGGTGTCTGGGCCGACGCCGATTGTGGCGCGGGTGGCGCGCCAGCCCGACCCGGGCCGTGCCGCCGCCCGCGCCCGGCTCCCGGCTCCCGGCTCCTGGCTCCTGGCTCCCGGTGACACCCCTCTGCGTTGCCGCAGGCTGTGTCAATGTGCTGCTCACCAATCCGCTGTGGGTGGCCAACACGCGCATGAAGATGGAGGGCGTGGCGGAGCTGAGCGAGCGGGTCCGCGGGCAGGCGCGGCCGCCCGCCAGCAGGCGCTACCGTAGTCTGGCCGGTGCGTCACAGCCGGGCCTTGTTCCCAAGGCTGACTCTAGCGCGTCATGCTCTGGCATGAGGAGGGGACCCGCGCCTATCAGTCAGCGGCTCTGGCATGAGGCGGGGACCCGCACCGATCAGCCCTTTACCACCACCCTTTTCGTGGTCAGCCTGCACGTCGGACTCCGTGATGTGAAAGTGAACGAGACGCAGGTCTTCATTGACGCCATATAGCCGGGCGTCGCGCGACAACTGGTCGTGTATTGTCCGCCCGGTCGAACTCATTCGTGCGCTCGCCCGCTCGCCCGCCCGGTGACACGGCGGCTGGGTCGTCGGCAGACGGCGTGCGTCGCATCGCCACTGAGGAGGGCACCGGCGCCCTCTACAACGGCCTGACGCCCTCGCTCATGCTCACCTCCAACCCGGCCGTTCAGTTCGTGGCTTACGAGGCCGCCAAACGCTATCTGGAGGTGAGTCGGCGGGGTCGACTCCATCTGGGCGGACCGGCACGTGTCAGCGTTAGAGCAGGTAACGGCCCTGGTCGGCGGAAGGAGGAGCTGGGCCGGCACGTGCCTCCCGTTCGGCCAGCCTCCATGGACGGCAGTCCAGTTCCGAGCCTCCATGGACGGCAAGGGTGCGGGGTGGGCTAGCCCGTGCGAGTGACTGCTGCTGATCTACAGGGGGTATCGCTGCGGTCGTCCTCGGACGCCACCACACGGGCGCCATCTCACACTGACCAATTGGTGGGCTCCGGGCTGTCACTCGGGGGTCTTCATTTGCGTGACGAACATGTCCTGACGGCTTCAGTGCTCTCCATATGTTCTGACCCCGCTGTGCTCGCCGTGTGTTCTGATCCGCTGTGTTCGCCGTGTGTTGTGACCCGCGCCATGCTCTCAGTATGTTCTGACCCCGCTGTGCTCGCCGTGCGTTCTGACCCCGCCGTGCTCGCCATGTGTTCTGACCCTGCTGTGTTCGCTGTGTGTTGTGACCCATGTGCGTTGTTCCCCGCGCCGTGTTCTGACCCTCGGCTGTGTCCTCCAGCGTCTGAAGCCGGGCGTGCCGCTCAGCGCCACCACAGTGTTCGTGGTGGGCGCCGCCTGCAAGGCGCTGGCCACCATCATCACCTACCCCCTGCAGATGGTGCAGGCCAAACTGCGGGTATGGCTGCCGCCTCCACCGGCCCTCTATCGAACGCCGGGCCGTCACTCTTCCCACACGTTACGGGCGTGGCCGGGTTTGCCGGCAAATGTCAGTCTTATTGAAGCTCGGTGATGGCGCACACATTGCTTATACTGCCTACCCGCTCGACGTGACAAGCTGTGTTCGTGATTGCCTGTCACGTTTGTTATTGTTTCTTATCCGTGCGGGACTTGGTCGTCTTCCATGACGTTTCTTTTCATGCTGGTATATTTTCGGTGGTGTCTTAAAGCGACCCTTTCCGTGGTCTCCAGTTATTTCCTTGGGCGCCTTTGTGGCGCCGATCTGGTCGTCACTCGTTGTGTGTAGTCTCCAACTTGGCCTCAAAATAAAGCCTCTGCGCGTTTATGACGGACGTACGGTAAATACGTTTTTGCAACATCCACATTCATCATGCCTCACAAAGCATTCCGTGCGTCGAAATCGCACGACTCTGCAGTTCGGTTGTCGTCGCAGGCGTCGGTGTGACCGGTCCGGCGGCAGCGGTGTCTCCCCCGAGCCTCACGACTGCGTGCCGGTTTGGTCTGACCTGATCTCACGGAGCGTAGTCTGATCTGATCTGGTCCGGTGCAGGTGGGCGGTCTGGTCCTCGAGGACGGCACCAGGGAGTTGCGCGTCCTGCGCATCCTGCTGCTCCTCTACAGGTCAGGCGATCGGGCGCCGGGCCTCAGTCCGCGTACCGCGCAACGTATGGGTTGTGAGGTCGGATTGTGTGGACAGATGATTCATGCCCAAGTGACATCTTGAACGTAGTTTGTTAAGTACGGAGATCAGAGGCCTCGTCACGTTACGGCGGTGGATGTGGGGCCGTGAGGTAGTTGTGGCGCCAGACTGGGGCTAGAACCAAACCGGAAATACGGGACTCGGTCCCTCGCGTTGCCCGCCTTCTTTGTCACGGTGAGAGGCGGGCGACGCCACGTAACCTAAGCGGCTGAGCGCGTCGTAAAGTCTCGATGACGAACGAGTTGTGCCGCCCTGTGGAGATCCTCTTCCTTCCTGCCGGACGGCACTGCCACCGGACAAGGCCGCCATCTCACCTCGGGTCGGCCGTCCGTAGGCACGGCGGCCTGGCCGGCGTCTTCAAGGGCCTGGAGGCTAAGATGCTGCAGACAGTGCTGACGGCGGCGCTCATGTTCGTGCTCTACGAGAAGATCGCCCGCTTTGTCTTCTTCCTGCTGCTGGGTCGGCGGGGGTAGACGACATTAGTGCTGGACGGCTGTGCTGCCGTTCTGCCGGGGCGGCGCCGGCGGTCGACTCGAGACTTGGCCGCCGCGGGTATTGCCTGTCCAGGCCGACACCCCGGCCAGCACCGCACACCCGCGCAACAGTCGGCACAGTGCAGGGCATTGTCAGCGATTGGCGGCGCCGGGTTGTCAGTACCTCGGGCTTACAGACGTCATATACTACGCCTAGTTTTCAGTTGGTTGTCATGTACCAGGGATGCATAATTGCATGTTCGTCACTAGTATTATTTCGTAAAACGTGACATGGGGCGCTGATGCAGGCAAACAAATTTGGCGATTAGCTTCTCGGCGAGTGAGCCAGGGTTGACATGACGTGACATAGCTCCTTCCAGAATTAATTAGTTAGGAGCATGCAGGCACGTTTCGAGAGTGACTTGGCATTTGCATTGTCATTGCCTTCTGTTTCGAGTACGTCCTAGATCAGTTGTGAGTCAATTTGAGTGACCTTTTAGCCTGTACAGTCCTGGGATTTACACGGATTGTGGGTGTGGGCGCTCATATTTCTCCCAATTTGAGATATATTTAGTAAGAAGTCCAAAAATATATGCGTATAAGTCATTCCTCAGAACGTACTGTACAAGTCAGTTTGCTTATGTGACCCATTATTCTTGGCTGCTCGTTGCTGCTGTCGCAATGTTCGCTTCTTCAAATTTTTGGGAACAGCGCCGCGCTGTCCGTATTACGCGTACCTCGCAGTTTTACCTCTCCAGACCGCGCATCACCAGGGAAATACGCGGAGGCTTGGCTCGTCCAATCCGATGCGTGCTAATATTCCGTGCAATATGCAGCTGACCAATCAGTCGACCGTGGCCGGTGGCCGGTATCTGTCTGTCGACAGCGAGCCGTGGCTGTGACCATTGGAGGTGCGACTCTGTGCGTGCCTCTGCGACGGTACGAGATTTTCATGTGTTCATGTGTTCCCTCGCACATCCGTATGTTTCGGACGGGCTTGGAGCGCGACGAGTGGAGCGGCGTAATTGAGCGCTGGTTCGTATCACCGTGTGAGAGCGTGGAATACACTAGCAGGAATGGAGGGTTCTGTTAATGTTCGTATGATTTAGCTTGTCTTTTACGACCTCCGTCAGCGGCACATGAACGTAAAGCAGGACCAGACAGCGACTCAGCCCGACTAATTTTCCAGCGGGGTGTAATACGAACGCCACGAGAGCGGCAACATCGGGAGCGCGTCGCCCACCCGCACGGTTTGAATAGGTGTCCAGTGTTATAAACAGCCACGCGCACTGCATACGACCACTTGTCGGGATGTTACACACATGGTGCTGTAGCTGGGTGGTGGACAATTAATACAGCCACTGGCACCCGACCTGAACGAATTGGCCGCCATCGTTGAGGTCCAGTAAATGGATTCGGAGTCGCGACGATGGTGGGATGGACGTATGCAGCGCCCATCAGGGTTTAGTCATCTGAGGTTACAGGGGGCGGCTGGAGGGGACGAAAGCCAGTTTCAGCGAGGGCCGATTCGGATTTATGTTACATGTTGCCGGTACTTATCACTTTCTCGCTAATCCCCGACATACGCCAAGATAACTCGTGAGTCGGATGCGCAAAATCTCACTTCTGCAGTGCTATCACTGGGTTATTCATTGTTGAGCTTTGCTTATTCTATGCAACCAGCATGTTTTTTTTTTCTCCAAGGCATACTGATGTCAGTGCCCTACACCTGCCTTATCTGTCCCGATCATTCGTGTAACTTGCGGAAGCGTGTCCCGGCCGTTTTCATGGAATTGCTTGCATTGCAAAACCAGCTGATTTAACTTCCCGATATCCTGTCAGCCCACTGACTTCTGCTAAATTGACAAGCCACGCTTTCTTAAGGTTCACTTCACATCAGCGGTGCTCGCATCTAGGTTGTGAACGCATCTAAATAATCACGTTGTAAGAACTGGTTCACTGTGGTTCACACGTCAGCTCCAGCACTACCGGCTAAACCCGGCAGCAAGTGATGAATTCCCTGTATTTACACAGCGATGGTGGATGACGTGGCTGAAGCAGAACGGTACCGGGTGATAACGGCCAGTCCTGACGCCGTTGACGCACCGGACGAGCGGCCAGAGGTCGGGGCCAACACACTAGGGACGACATCGGCCGCGGTCTGAGGCGCCGCACCAGCTGACTGGTGGCTGGCGCTCGAGCCCAGGCGCCAGGCGCCGGTCAGCGCAGCAACTCATTCTGCGCCGGCACTGCCCAGCACAGCATTTTTACAGCAACCGATATCCCGCATGGAAACAGAAAAGGCTCTGGGTCAGGGTGACGCCGTGTGCACCGACGGTGGTCAGACGAGACTGTGGCGGCGGTGGCGGACCGAGCGGCGCGAGCTCAGGCTGCCCTCCAGCCGCGCCCCCACACGCCACGTTAGAGCCATCCCCGGGCGAGGCTCGCTTGCTCGGCCCTCCGGCATCACCCGCTCACCCTTGGGCGCCGCTGCTGGCCATCTCGCAACTCGAACACCACTCGCCACTCGCTCAGTCATCTGACGTCAATGGCTTCTCTATCGGACACCACCTCACCCATCCGGCACACCCGTTGGCCTCCCCGCCGACGGTCAGCCAGCCATCGGCTCGTCGCCGACGACGCGGATCTCCAGTCGCTCGCCGTTCTCGTCGACCAGGTATCCCTTGCCGTTCATCACCTGCTCGAGCACCTCCTGCGGAAGGCTGATGTGCTCGGTGCCGTCGGCCGTGCCGACCAGCGCCTGGCCGCGCGCCGCGCCCGACTGCGGCGACAGTGTGTCAGCCACCACCGCCTCCACGGCCGCGTCCACGGCTGCGCCCGGGTCCACCGGGCGGCGGCGCTTCTTGCCGCGGCCCCGGCCTGTGGCCGGCGGCGGCGCCGCGGCCGCCAGCAGCTCGGACGGGTCCAACTGCCAGGCCATGTTGACACCGCGCGTCCTGTTGGCGCGGCGGGGCGACGTCAGGCACGGGCGCCGGAGCCGTTCCCGGCGTGCCGGCACAGCGTAGTGTGTCAAAAGATACAGAGGTTACCCGCGACTGTCGGGCGCGATCACAACACATCCAGCCGCACACCATGGCCACAGAAAAAATGAAAGGAGCACAGTGCAGAAAATAAACCTTTTGTCCATCTAAAACTGCCAATGCGACAATCCTCAAATCGCCTGAACATAAATTCCTTGAATAGCGCTACGACATACAAATCCACGAGCACACTTACTTTTCCTCCAGCTCCTTCGCGGAGAGCAGTGGGAGACCTTGGGCCATGAGGAAGGTGTAGTTCTCCTTGCCGACCTCGGCTAACAGCTCACCGCACTCCAGCACCGCCTCGTCTTGGGCCGTCAGCTGCTTCCGCTTGTCCTGCCGACAGCCCGGTGACCAAGTGCGTCACGCCCAGTCGCGCCCCACGGCAGCTTCACTTGATATGAATATCTGGACCGCATACAGCTGCGTGGAAAGCTAGGTGCGGTCCAGACAAATTGAAAAACGCCCAGACGCCTGACAGTGATATGCAGCTATCACTCCACAGTCTTTGCTGTCCTAGCTGTCCTTGACGTGCATGATCAGATGGCAAAATTGTCGACAGAGAGGGATAGACCGATGAAACGCGGGAGCGGCGTGTCAATACCATGGATCATGATAGCAAATAATGCGACGCTTAAAACACTTCCTTGAGGTATTCAACCCACTTGCAAAAACGAATTTGAAATATGATGGCCGTTTCTTATGCAAAACAGATGTTGCGACAGAGTTTTGCAAAAAGACGCCTGTAGGGCCACGGATGCCGTGTTTAAAGAGTTTGACTGTAATTCCATGACGCCAGGTTGACTCGTAAGCCCTCTCAAAATCAAATAAAATGGCACCTAAATGGCGACCCTGTTTAAAAGCAGCGCGCACAGCAGTGTCATGTGTTAAAACGTGGTCCATCGTGCAGCGGCTTTTCCTAAAACCACATTGACATTGTTCAAGGGGCGTTTGCCTCCTAAGTTTCACAACAATCTCAAGTTCATCATCTTCTCCATCAATTACATAACGGTGAGGTAACAGAAATAAGCCTGTAATCCAGCAGATCTAATCCCGTCTTACTCAGTTTAAAGAGCCAATGCCGTAGCATTCCGCCAGTCTACCGAGCAATGACCTCTTATCCATAACAAATGAAAACTACCCAACGGGGACTCCAACGCACGAGGAGATATTTTAACATCTTGTGGATGTGATCGAAACCTTCCGCCACGCTCCGCCAAGTCGAAACGGTCGCTTGGAATTCATTCACAGTGAATGGCAAATTGTAACCACGCTCCTCGGACGTTAAAAAATCACGGCAATTAACTCGACGCGTACTCCATGACGCAAACATTGTATCCTATCGTTCCCTGCTCGGCAGCGATCCGCTAGTGCCCTCGTGATCGCATTGGCCACATCGATGGGTTGAACATCTTGGCCACGTGAACGTAACAATGGTAGTGGGGTGGAAGAAAAATAACCTGAAATTCGTTTGATCTGTGACCACAGGTGAGATGGCGGGGTGAACCTGCTTAGTTTGCTAACGTATTCCCTCCAGGAAACACACTTCGCCTCGCAAACGGTGCGACTTGCTGCCGCCCTAGCATAGCGGAATACGATCAGAGCTGGCCAAGTGCTACTGTGATCGAAAGCCCTGAAGGCGCGTCGGCGTGTACGAATAGCAGTTCAACATCCCTCTATCCGCGAGGGACTGGGGTGCGCCGCGGTGCCCCAGTGGTTTTGGGAACGCATCCATGAGCGACGTTTAAAAGCAGGGACGTTAAGACATCAGCAGACGCAGGTTATGTAAGTGGATCAGCTGGAAACACAGCGTCTAGCCGAGTTTCGAACCCACACCAGTCACCTTTTCTAAATTCCATCTCTGAGGCCGATGCCCGACAACGGATCCATCCTGGTACCTTAGCCGAACAGGAAAGAGATCACTGTCCATGGGATCGTATGCGACATGCCAAGTAAATCACGGTGTACGCTATGGGCTCAAAATACTTAGGCCAATGGCGCACATCCGGCCCGAGGGCAGTGTAACGTGTGTCCGAACCACAGTATTGAAAAGGCGCAATGATTCTTGGCGGATGAAGTGTGCACACAGGCGTCCAGGCATGTTTGTGTGGCCGCAACCATAAACGGTGTGATGAGCGTCAAAATCACCCAAAATCGTGACGGTTGGAGGGAGACCAAACATTAAACGGCCGAGTTCCGCCACAAAAGACGCCACTTCAGGTAGCACATACGGCGAACACACCATAAGTCGATTGTTGAAATTGACTCGAGCTGCCACAGCCTGGAGGGTTGTGTCGGGTACCAGGTGATGGGCAGGCACGCTGTAGTGAACAGCTAAAAGAACAAAAGTGCTAGAAGTGCGATTGTTAGTCTTTACGGATTACTGAATAGCCTCTGACTGTCCAATGTGAATCCGGCCGTAGTTTCGTTTCATGCAGACACACCACCACTGGACAGGGGACGTTTACAATAACTTGGAGATCCTGTGCATGAGTTCTCGCGCCCCTGCAGTTCCATCGTAAAACATTGTCAGGGAACTAAAGCAAAGGGGTGCAACTTATGCTTTTAGTGCTCCTCTAAAAACGCTTGTCAAGGGACGTTTTAAAAGAGATGAAAACCGTTCTCCAGGGCCGCGGTCACGATGCACCAGTACTCGCACCAGCAGTCAAACTCAGCTTTACTGTTGCGCTCCGCATACCCGACGCAACAGAACAAAGTCAAATTCTTGGCCGGACCCAAGGGCCGCTGCCCTCTGACGGTAAGATCGGTCCGCATGGACCGCGCCGCTCTGGACGGAGATGCCGCTGGAGAAGTAGTGGTCCGGGGTGGCAGCGGATGATGGGATGGAACACCCATCGTTGGATGCCGCGGGGCGTCTGATGGAGCCCCGACCGTCTTCTAGGAAGTGGGACTACCTCCCCCGTGGGAGCAGGCCAGAGGCCCGCACCCGACAGCCAATTGGCTGCCTTCGCCCTCTCCCGCTCCTGAAGGCGTGCACGCTTGGCCTCGCGCGCACGTCTCCCCGCCTCATGGCGCTCAAGCCTGTCCAGAGTTCGTCCCATCACCTCCATAGTGCTGTAGGGTGTGATGCTCCTGGAGAGGACGGCTGCGAAGCCGATGACCGCATGCTTACTGGCAAAGACCGGGAGGTTCGGCCACGGCGGACTACGGTCCACTCACTGCTTCCCGCTGGTGTGGGGTCAGGCGGCGATGTAAGGATTGGCGAGCTGGCCTGCGCCTCAGAGGGGGGCGCAACGTGCTACCGAGACGGAGGACGACAGTGTTGTCGATGCGGTGGCGAGCACCTGAGACGCTGGTACGGCCGACAGCCCGAACGTTGTAAGTAGTTTAATGAGTTGCGTTCCAGTCATCGGATCTAAGGGAGGTTTCGGGTGCGACAGACGTCTTGGCTGCCGTGGCATACGATATCTTAGGGTGACTCAGTTCAACAGATCCCTCGTTTCACGAAATGAGATGTCTTTCGTGGTTTTCAGTGCGATGATCTCCTCTCTGACGTACGCCGGGCGCACACGATCGAAAGCAGGGTAAGGTGTCTGGTTTTTAACGCAGTTCACCCACCACGGGCTTGCTGCAGTGCACTGATCACTCGGGTGCTCCGAAGAGGCGCGCTTACCACATGCTGGGTGGTTATCGCAGAAGTATCTTGCATGTCCAAACATCTAACACTTAACACACATCACGGGAATCGGAATAAAAATCTACAGCTTCACCCTCACAAAGTGAACTAAAATCGCTTTTGAACTAGAGTGGGAGTGACCAATTTCATCGCAAAAAAGACCGTACCGGACTTAAAAATTCAATTCACAAATTGGAACTTGTAACTGAGAGATGCTCCAGCAAACAAAGACATACATTTCAAGTTGGTATAGACGTAAAATCATAATTATGACAACCTTATTTTTGTTTTTAACATCTTAGCTCATTTCACTTTAACAGAATGCATTGAAGAACAGTAATTTCATAATAGTGTGATGAGCACCAGAAACTACGTAACACCAATGTTTTGATGCTGCACTTAAGAGTTCCCTTCCACAAGATTCTTAATACAAGACTGTGCAAAACAATGCAAAACAACAAAACGTGCAAAAATTGATGAAGCATTACGTATTCAAACTAAAAAGCCACGGACTCTTGCACATCAACACACCACCAAATCAAACAACCAACAGACATACCTCTAAATCATGTTAAGATGGGGCCAGGAAGTACAAATATTATGTCAGTGTTTTTTTCGCAAAATACCAGTGTCTATTTCCGTGAAAGTAACCTAAATAACCGTAACCTAGAGAAGCCTTACCTTATCTCATCCTGTCTGACCTACTGGTATCACAGCAGCGTTTGTGAGTCACCAATCCTTGTAAAACTCCTACTGTCACATGACATGCACTTAACCAACTTAACCTAACTTAGAGTAACCCATATGTTGAGGAACCTTGTTTATACTTTATGGTTTTAAATGAGCTCGGTTTTGGATGACATCTACAGACTTCTGAAATGGAAATATGGGTTTCATATGTGTGGTCAGACGATATCAGATGGGAGTGAAAAATTCGCATAGAATATGGGGAAAAAAAGCGAAGACATCCTCATAGCATGTCTTCACTTCGCTTTACACCGCAAGTGGGCAATTCCAGGGCGCTGCCTTTACACAGCCTACCCTTACTTCAGATGGTATGTCAGGACGGTTAAAACTCAGTACGATGCTGTTCGTGGGGACCAACTCAGCACCCCTACGCACCGTGATGCGGTGAGCGTCTGTCAGCCCGAACTCAGCGAAGCCGTCGACTATGTTCTCATCACTGACATATTTCAGGTCAAAACAGTTGATGATGCTTTTTGATGAGTTCTTCGTTTTATGAGCCTCCACAGTCATCGCAACCGACACGCCCTTCTTCCCTTCCGCATCCCGAACACAGTACACATACCTATCCGAAGTCATGGCCCGTTTCGCCTCCTCTCCGTTCTGAAACTCGACCTCGATCCCACCACCCTCGCGCTTTTCGCATCGGTCGAAACCTTTCCAAACCCATTCCGCCTTTGAAAGGGCGAAATACACACCCATTCGGCCTTTGAAAGGGCGACAGGGACGACAGCGCCTTCTCGGTGCTTCGAAAATTCAGGATTCGAGGGGTAGGCGTTGACACACTACCACCTGTAGTCCCAGCTCGCCCTTCTTTCGGGGTGCGCGTGTTTTTGGGGATTGACGTTGTCATGCACGTAAGGTTTAGGCGTTCGGCACCGGGGCCTCCCACCCACCACGGAACCCAACTGGGGGACGGCCAAACACTCCAATCGGGAGATGGTGACTGCCAGGGCTACTCCGGTGCTACACGGGGCGGGCGACGCCTCCCACACGCCCATGTGTAACCGGGGAGACCCCTCCCCGTGCTAACCGCGGTTCAGCGCCGTCGCCCCTTGACCCCTTAAGCCGCTGCGCGCGACCAAGCGCCCCAAGCGGAGACCTGCACGGAGCACCCAGCCGCAGCGCGAGCGGCAAGCCGCTAGACCCGTGTGGAGCCCCACTGGATCCCCGCGCCCCCGAATATCCTCGCCAAAGTTGAGTGATGGGACGTGCTGTGGCTGGCCCGCGCGTCGTGCCCCTCAGCTAGCAGGATCCGATCAACGCGGGGACGCGGGCGAAGGGGCACGGCACCCCGACAAAACGAGGATGAGGAGTGGTGAGAGGGCCGGATGCGGAAATGCGGGTGATGAGGACGGAGGGGGCGGGATACGAAGCAGGGGCTCACATGCCGGCGGGGTCGCTAGGTCCTGAAATGAACAGCTTGCACTGTCCGTCCATTACCGGAGCTGGGACCCCAGGGGGCGCTACTCTCCTACACCGGCCTAAGCTGGTGCCGGGGGGGGCGTGGGCGTGTGTGCACGCGTGTGCGCGCGGGTGCGTGCGCGTGCGTGCGTGTATAGCTAACATGTTAAAACGTTGCCTTAATGAAAGAGGTAATGCTGCTTACTCATCTAACACATTACCCATACTGACGTGAGCATGGAGCAGGTTCTTTTGAATCATTACAATGTGGAGACTCAAGAAACAGACATTTTACATGAATACAGGACAGATACCGCTGTTTTCTATGCACCTAACTGAACACTCGTTTTTCGGTGGGTCAATGTTGCTAGAAGAGCACACCCAGACGATGTGAATCTCCCAAATCACGGAAGTCCGGCTCACCTTGTCCAGCAGCCCAATCAGAATGCTGGGCGTGTTGCCCAGGATGCTGGTTTCCAGATCCTTCAGCTTCTTCTCCAGCAGGGAGTTCTCATTTTTCAGCCGCGCGATCTTGGCCTGGTCTTTTGTAGCCTCCACGCTGAAGTAGTCGACCGCCCGCCGCAGCTCGGCCCCCTGACGAAAAGGCCCGCGGCATGACCAATCAACGTCTGAAAACACGCTACTGCCCAGCCCCAGTACACCAGCCACTGGCGCATCGCAGCACGTCGCGCTGGGTACCTGCCCAGCCTTAGAACGTCAGTCACTGGTGCACCGCAGTACATAGCGCTGGGTACCTGCCCAGCCCCGGTACACCAGCCACTGGCGCACTGCGGTATATCGCGCTGGGTACCTGCCAAGCCCCAGTACACCAGCCACTGGCGCACCGCGGTACATAGCGCTGTGTTACGCCAGCCAGCCTTCTCGAGCAGGCATGATGTGACAGCATTCAACACGCGTGCGACTGTGCAGTTCCATATCAAATATAACACGTAGTGACCTGTCCTTCGGTGACGACGAAAGCAATGTTGCAGGGTCTCAGGATTCCTGACAGCTTAGGCTATACATGCATGTCGACAATTTTACCAAATCGGGTTTAAAAATAAATAAATAATATTCAATAAGAAATTAAATCAATTTGGCTCTACAAAATACTAAATATAGGTTTATACGAAAATTTCACTAGAAGTTGGGGCCGGCGCGACGTAACCAAAAACCCTCACTAGTACGTTGCTTGCAGATATATCAGACATAATGTTATTTAAGCACGCATCTGAAGGCAGGTCAGCCCTTGTTGACACGAGTGACTTATAGCAGACCCTTCACACGAAAGTTTTGCCCATTCTGCTGCCATCTGGCCACGACTTTTCAAACCACGCCGTTTGATCGCAGCTTTCTACAGCAGAACTCTTGACTACGGTTGCCGTCATCATGATCATTATCATGTATCCATTACGAACCGTTCAATATACGTATATGACGTTACGTTTGATGCGAACCAATGGGCTTCATGCATTACGACAAAAAAGACGGCGCAGCGATGACAAAATACACTAGGGGGCGTAAAAACACTCCACATAGGCAAACACTGCTCTCTGTGCAACATTGGTAAATTCAACGCATGAACACAGCACGGCTGTGGGAAGCCATGACGGCCATTACAGTCAACGGACCCGAAAGCACCAATAAACAAACAAAAAAAAAGCCATGACGACCGGCGGTAGGCGGCCCAAGAACGACACCGTGCAATACGGCAGTCCTTCCAGCTGTCTAATTCGGAAAGCGGACATCCCAATGCGGTGGCCACCGCCGACGTCGTGGCGTGCTGAGGAACAGCAGCATGAGGGGCGGGCGGGATTCCAAGACCGATGACGTGTGGTCCCGGTCCCCTGGCCAGCCAGCGCTCGCGTCCTGCCCACGCCGCGAAATTCACCTTTTGCACTTGGCTGGGATAGCACGCAACAGCTACGCCCCGGAATGAGGCAGCGCATGACGTGAGGGAAAACGTTAGCTCCGATAAGGAGTTTGCCGTCGCGAAATGGTGACGAATCCAATACGAATATGGACATAACAGGATGTAATTACACAATTTGACTAATTCGGACGTGCGACTACCAGCACAGGGTACCGTCGAAGCTAACGCTCAGAATCTTCACGGAAGGCTAGGGGCGATATGCAAATGGAACTGTTAAAATGAGTGTGCCCTTTTTCAGAATGTCCATGCCGCGCACGACGTTTCCATACCGTGAGGCCTCGTCCTGAAACCGCTTGCCGCCAGCCGTTGGGGCTTCGGGAGCAGTGCAGTGCTCATGTCGAGATTTAACACGCGACATCGTGGAAAGTTAGTGCCTCTGTGCACTTTTCTTACGTTATACGTATGTCCATCACGACAGCATCATTATGTATACCGCGTTCCACACACCCCACGGACTTAAATGAAAAAATCAGCTATCCATGTAAAGAGCAATTTATGCTGAACACATGATAATGAGATGATGGTCAACATGGCGGTGGTCACGGTCAGAGTTCTGCTGCAGTGCGCCGCAACCACGTGGCGCGATTTCAAAACTCGTTGATAGATGGTAGCAGGATCGACAGACATTCTGTGTGCAGGGTCTGCGAATAGTCGCTCGTGTGCAGACACTGCCTTGTCAGACACGTATTGTGATGATGATGATGATTGGGGTTGTAGGGCGCGTCGACTTCTAGGGTCATTTTGCGCCCAGACACGTATTGTGGACACATACCCCGCCAATCACCGTTATCGGCTTCCACTCTGCACCCGGTACCCCCGACCCACTGTCCGCGGCAGTGCCGTTATTTCAGGACTATTTGTTTCCCCAAACTTACCACGTTCTGCAGATCACGCTGTTTGGCCTGTAGAATCACCAGGTCGCGGTTGATTTTCTGCGTTTTCAAGGTCGTCTGAATGTTCACACGAGCCTGGGTAAACTCTGCAACGGACATGACACGGGAACGGATGTGCAAGGCTAAAATAATAACTTAATCGACTTATCATGAAAATCCTCTTCCTCACAACATACAGGATCAAAGGGAGTGATCGACATTTGTATGGGGTATTCATCTGAACTAACCATCCTGGCGGCCACTGCGTACAGTTCACAACTCTGTTCTTGAAGGGAATATCCCCCTTTTTTGTACTCCTCACTTACTGCTACACCCTATGCGTACGATCTGATCCGCAATACCAGTTTTCTCAAACAACCTCCGAATAGCTGAAAACTTCAACTTGACGTAGCCGAAGCCGCGCGAGCAATTCCATTTGACTTCCTGCTCACCACAATGAAAGTAATGATTCCATTTGTCTTCCTTTTCCGACGTGTGTGTTCCGTAATGTTGGCAACATCTTAAGGGTGTCCAAATGTTTGCGTAATGAATGCCACGAAAGCCTGAAACAGTCTATTTAGAAACTAAGACATACGAACACGAAGCTTTCATTCCGCGAATTCAACGAAACGTTATACTATGGCTTTGATTTCTCCCCTATGGCGTCTAACCTTATAGGCTCTATTCGAGGCGCACTTAAGGTTTTCAGAATGGGATCATCACGTGATCCATATGACGCAATGGTTCAAACGTCAACCAATGTGCTTCTCGGTGACACACCCTTGCCGGTGGGCCAATCACAAACCTTTTATTAGCACCAGTAGAGTGCTTACGTATATTTGTTTCCAGGTCGCCAGGAACTTTTTCCTAAATCCTCCTACGGGTATTGGCGGCATCTTGCGGTTTAAGAAATTTACATAGTTTTGCTGAGGTCACATCGAACACGACTACCTGTCGCACAGGGACCTTGATTTTGGTGGTAAATTCGAGGTGGTGGACGGAACGATTGTCGTGCCGTGCATGCATGTGTACCGGGTAACACCTTAACACCTGTATTGTCCGCAGATGACCGCGTAGTTGTCTACGTAAATATTTAACACACTGCTATTAATGTAAAATTAGAATGGGCAGCTTTTTACGTGGAACACACGCCCAAATCCGAAATCATCATTACCATCACGGGCGAATGGTTTATGACGTCTTCATCTTGGCTTTTTTGGCCTATCAATCCTCATAGTACGGTGTAAATGAAACTTATGAGACTTATCTGGTGCAGATTGAGCCACTTATGTTGGGCTCAGTTTTTCAAAAAAGCCCATCTAAACCCCAATCCACCAAAAAATGCATCCCCTTCACCAGAACCCCTAAAACATTGCTGCACTGAATTTCCTGTTTGGGTATAAATGCATTGCAGGCCAAGATGCAGCTTACTTTCAATTATTTTGTTAGGTGTGAGAAAGGCTTTTGAAGTCTGAACCTGTTTGAATGTGCAGAACTCAGACCAGGCCGAAATGCACTTAGCTTTCACATTATTTTTGTGTGTGAAAAGCTGTAGACGTATAGCTGTGAGAAAAAACTCTTGCAACATCTAATGCCTAAGAATAAAGGTTGTGTTGAAATTGGTAATGACTGTGCACCAGGGCACAGGAGCTATGTTCAAGTTGGGAGCCAAGCCCCAAAATGCCAAAGTTGGCCCCTGAAATAAGATGGTGCCCCCCACCCCCACCACCAAGCCAGACAGTCAATAATGGGTGCTCTACAGGTCAGCATGGCCCCATAGGATCAGAATGGGCTCTCTGCAGGACAAAGTATGCCTTGTGCAGTTAACAATAGGCCATGTACAGGTTAGAATGGGCCCACCCACTACAGGTAGGAAATGGACCTCCAAAAGTGGGCTCCATAGACCAAAATGGGCTCTCTACAGTACTGAAAGAGCCATCTACAGGCTAGCCTGGGACGTCCATAGTCCACAATATGCCCTCTGCATGCCAGAATGGACATTCCACAGGCCAGAATGGGCCCTCTAAGGGCTAGAATGTGCCCTTTTCAAGCCAGAATGGCCCCCCTATATGCCAGAACGTGCTCTGTCCAATTACTAATGGGCCAACTGCTAGTCAGAATGGGGCCTCCACAGACCAGAATGGGCACTGCAAGTCGATATTGGGCCCTCTATAAGTCTAAATGGGCCCCAGTACAAGCCCAAATGGGTCCATCACATATGGCAACAGGTCCTCCACAGGGCAGAATGTGCCAGAATATCCCGACTACAGGCCAGAAATTCCATAGACTCACAAATACATACACATTCTTCTACAGGCCATAAATACCATAGACCTACAAATACACAGATATTCTTCTACAGGCCAGATATTCCACAGACCCAGGGTAACTTATGAGGGGCAGGCCAACATCAAAACCACCCTGTTTTATCACTCCAGAGCATGCTGGATGAGGGCATTTTTAGTATTGACTTTTAATTTGCTAACAGGAACCACATTACTCGTCGTTCATGAACTTCTACAAGGCCAGTACAGGTCACAAACCTAAAATGACCCAGGTCAACATTCTGTTTTCAAGAACATACTGCCTTGCCTAATCCTTGATGCTCATTCAAATGCAAAAATCAAAGCAGTCTCGCAAGATTTTGGTTACCGTGACCTTCGAAAGGTGAAACAATGTCACTGAACTTCAATGAGCACAGGTGACCTTCTGCTTAGGACAGGTCGCTAGGTTCATGGTGGTTGCATGAGGTCTGAGGGCACTTGGACACCATTGTGGAGTTTGACCTTGTGCGACCTTATTTGGCCCAACGTCATCACCTAGGAACCGTAAATTTTGACGCACGTGAGTTCACGTACAGGCCAACACACCCTGTGAATTTGGTGTCTCTAGCTCTCTTAGTTTCTGAGATCTCAGGGGGTTAAGTGGACCCCCACCGACAAAGAGCATTGAACCCGCCATCCGGGCGCGTGTTAAGGTAATTTGACATGCATCTGGGTTAATCTGATATATCTTGCTCTTTGCGAAGTCCCAGTATGTCTAATCTTACACGACACGACTAATTCTAAACATTCTGTATCATAATTGATCGTGCGATGACTCGGTTACTGCACAGCGAGTCGGTTTTAAACAGTGTGACATAGGCTATCGGCTGTTGATTTCTGCCTAAGTGACTGGTCAAGGTGTTCTCAAGGTGTGCTAATGTTTGAGGTGATAATCTCGTTATTTTTCAACAGAGATCATCTGATTTGTTGTTGTATGATTGACAATTAGCTGCAAATAGATAATGTTGTGCTACGTTGCGGGCATGTGTGCTACTTCTGGTATTTTTATGTGCTGTAAATAGCTCGCTTCGTACACTTATGATGCAAACCTTGCGTTAGTTCTGGTACACTCCATTGTGGTCAGGTACAGTCATGCAAATTAGTGCACGCTTGTAATGGAAATTGTATAATTTACCCGGCTACTAACTGGTAAAACTGAAACTCAGTGCGCCGAATACGAGACAGAGGTGTTGACTGCGGGGTGTTGTACATTGTATTAGGGTGTTGGCAGTGTTATTCGCTTTGGCGTTAGGTTTTTGCTCGAATAAATTCAAGCTATGTAAGGGGAATTTATAATATACTGTTAGCTGCGAAGTGATGCCTACTGCCCTCCAGGCACTCAGTAGTTACTTCTTACAAAGCGTGTTGTGGCCCATGTTGGGGTGGGCTCGAGTGTCTCGCGTGCTTGTTATCTCCCCCTGACGCGTATGGCTTGCAGCCGGAGGTAACGCCCGTGCTTAAGCTCGGCGACGCCATAGGACGGCACGAGGCGTGCCAAGCATTGCAATACTTGAACTTACGCCACGCGATCCGATGGTAGGGATCATGCCTCGCACAAAATGCACCGATTAGCGTGAGCTTGTGATGCCAGAAATCCATCCATTCAAAAACTGGGGATTCTATTTTTTAATTTTTGCACTTGGCCACTGGTGGCATTTACCAGCGGCCCTTCGAAGTTGCGTGTACCCGTCTGCTGCGGCCAATAGTTGTCTAAGCACGTTTCTGTGGGGGTTAAGAATGGCAGGCCCCATCCACCCCACGGCCAGTAATCGGTGATGGCAGTGGCTACCAAACGGTTGGGGGCCGGCGGCGGGCTACTGGTCATCCCCGTCAGCAGCGGCTGCCAAGGACTCACGTGTCGGCCGGGTGGCGGCGGACAGCTTGCGGGCGCGCTCGTTGTCGAAGTCGTCGCCAGCCGTCGGGTCGTAGTCGGGGTCGTCGGCGTCGACGGCGGTCGGCGGCTGGCCCTCGACGGTGACGTGCCGCGCCCCGGTAAGGCGCACCATCGCTGCGACAGGGTCACGGCACGTTAGCGCCCGGCCGACCTCGACGTCCATACACCGCCGAGCCCGTGCGCCCCGGTGAGGCGCACCATCGCTGCGACAGGGTCACGGCACGTTAGCGCCCGGCCGACCTCGACGTCCATACACCGCCGAGCCCGTGCGCCCCGGTGAGGCGCACCATCGCTGCGACAGGGTCACGGCATGTTAGCGCCCGGCCGACCTCGACGTCCATACACCGCCGAGCCCGTCCGTCAGCAGCTGGTGCCGTCAGCGCCCGACCGACCTCGGCGCCCACACATCGCCCAGTCCGTCCGCCGGCGGCTGGTGCTGTCAGCACCCGATCCTACCGTCCCGTCCCAGTCTGTCGGTTGTCCTGGCCAGCCCACCTCCCGTCCCAGTCTGCCGGCTGTCCTGGCCAGCCCACCTCCCGTCCCAGTCTATCGGCTGTCCTGGCCAGCCCACCTCCCGTCCCAGTCTATCGGCTGTCCTGGCCAGCCCACCTCCCGTCCCAGTCTATCGGCTGTCCTGGCCAGCCCACCTCCCGTCCCAGTCTGTCGGCTGTCCTGGCCAGCCCACCTCCCGTCCCAGTCTGTCGGCTGTCCTGGCCAGCCCACCTCCCGTCCAAGTCTGTCGGCTGTCCTGCCCCGGCCGCCGCCCGTCCCAGTCCCGCCGGCGGTCTCACATACGTGGCTTGGGCAGCAGCGGGCGGCCCCTGCCACGTGACGAGCTGACGGTGGCGGCCCGGGCCGGCGTGAGCGCCGCCGCCGCCGTCGTCGGCCTGGCCGTGATCAGCGCGTCATACTTGGACTTGCCCTGCTTGCCGTGCGAGCTCTGCGGGTGAGGGAGACACCAGCGGTCAGGGTCGGCTTCGAGCAGGGGCGAGTGGCAACCCTGAGCCCGCGATCAGTCGGCGAGTCAGAAAACAACGAACGGTTCGATAAGCCAAGAACATGATGCACAGCTCCACCACAAACGCGAAATCTCAGTACGGATGAGGAAAAAAATTAATACACAATAAACATTTTGATGGCTCAAAGCGCACCGCAAAAGCACAGTGCTTGCCCCCAGTGAACTTATGATGAAGCCACAGCCGAGAAATGGCATGGATCGTAAAGTGCACAGACATGTCAACTGATATACAAAGAGAACAGCGCGTCTACGTGCCAGTGAGTACGACCGATGTGGGGCGGCGGCGGGCCGCCTGGTACTCACGGGCGTAATGTCTCCCTGCGCCTCGGATCGAAGACGGGTCTCCACCCAGGAGATGGCCTGGCGCCGCGCCATGCGCAGCCGCCGGATATGCTCTTCGGGACCTGGCGGCGGCGGCGGCGCGGGGGTGATGCGGCCTACCGGCGCCCGACCCCGCACGGCCACCGCCCCTGGTTCGCCCCGCGCGGCCAGGGGCGGCGCCGGCAGACGACACACAGCGCACGCAGGCTGTCACACCGCTGCGCCAGAGACAGGCGTACGAGACGAGCGGACGTGGCGCACGATCACAGCTCCAGCGGCGCTCGCACTCCCCGCAACAGCCGCTTCACAGCCAGAGCCCAGATTTCGGGCAACGTGGCATCTCAATCCATAAAAAAGGTGAACCGCCGAATCAGCACTGCGTCTCTCCATGGTCTCTTGCTCGCCTTCGGCACATCCATCTTCAGCGTTCTGACGCTTACACAGGGCTGCCGACTTTTGATCTTACCTCCGGCGCTGGTCTCATCCACCTTCTTGGTGACAGCCTCCTTGATCTTAACAAGCTCCATAAATGTCAGGTCATTGTGGGACGGGGTAGGCTCCGAATCTGGAAGACAACGGAGCACCCAGTAAGTCACCACGGCGGCAGCCAGACAAAGACCATAGCATGCTGCTGTAGGGGTATCACGGCCGAGTGGTTAGCTCCTTGGACTCGAACGTGGCGGTCCGGGTTCGAATTCTGGTTGCACCATAGCTTTTGAGGGCTCATAAGGCCAATGCAGTCGCTGGCGCTTCATAAAAAGGTACGCGACGACGTGAGCCGCGTTCCCTTTTTTAGAATGACAAAAACACACTGCGGTACAATCTATCAGCGACCTTCAGAAGAGGTTCATGTTAATATCAGGCAGGCACATTGCAGTAGCAGCGTGGCGTCTACGATGCAGAAGCAATGGGCACCGCGCCAGCGACTCAATCTGCCACACATGACAGAGTCGTCATATAGCCGGCCGTCATCCAACAAATCAAGTGAGGATATTTGAGACGGTTCTTATGGCTTGGCCAGAGCACCGCACCACTGCACGGAGCCCGCTCGTTCGAGGACCTGACGGCGGGCAGCGGCCGTCCTTCTCACCCGATTCGTCGGTGTTCTGTATGACCAGTCTGTCGCGCACCACCACCAGCCGCACGCGCCGGTCGGGCAGCTCCAGCACCTCGATGGGGCCGTTGTGGCGCGCCGCCGACCGGCCCGCCTGCAGGTATGTGACGCCCGGCCGGGCGCCGGGGCCCGCCGCCGGCCGGCCGCGGCCCGGAGAGCCCCGGCCCCTTCCGCGACCGCGCGCCCGACCGCGGCCGCGAGAGCGCGAGCCGCGCGGCCGACCGCGCGTCACGCCGCGGCTCGGGCCGGGTCCGCCGGTGGCGCGCGAACGTCGGTCGCTGGCCGTGGTGAGGTACGGCCGCCCGTAGCTGCTGTCGTTCTCGGCGGCCGTCGGCACCTCCCAGTCGAGGTCATCCCGGTCGCCCGGGTCCTCCAGCTCGTGCTCCTCCACCTCCAGCTTGACGAAGTCGGTGACGATCTCGGCGCGCGGCGTCACGTCGCCGTCACCGTCCAGCCTGCCGGGCGGCGCGTCCATCAGTGCCAGTCGGCACAGGCAGGGCCAGCAGCCTCTGGCCATCATCCATGTCATCATCATCCATCATCCATACGGTCCATGTCTGCGGTTTTCATTTAAAAAAGCGCAACATCTAATCAGCAATGCCGGTGGAGCTCAGTGCCAAGATAATGCCTTTTAAGAATCGTATTGACGAAATACGCATCCAAGCTCCGAGAAGGAATACGCTTTAGTTTAACGCACCATCAGCCATGATTAAAGGTTTACCAAGCATGACTCCATTTCACCCAGATCCGGTTGGTTATTGGACGGAAACCTCCATAAGCTGTGTCATATAATATAACTTGTTTGTCACTGCCAAATGTTGTGTGGTCATGACCTCTCCCCGCGCCGCCCGGATCTGACCGGCAACCATTGCCTGAAATTTGGGCGTCTCTTGGTGTTTTGACCCTAAGACGTATTGCTCTCCATAACTGTATATTGGAAAAAGTATAAAAATTGTTCTCTGTGAACAACAGGAGATGCAAATAGGCTGTTCCTGAAACTTCGACAGCATCGCGTGCCGCACTCACACGGCTAAACGAGGGATACTGCTTGCGAGTTTCTGCCGAATCTTTTATCATATCACATACATTTCCTTTCAATGCACTCAGTGCCCAGGTCCGTTACTGCTCACCAGCACACGTTTAATACACCCACCGTCCACCAACGACACTCACGCGCTCAGACGCCGGACTACGAGCGCCGCGCTCAGAACAACAACCGCCTCTCCTGACGGGGCGGATCGCTAGGGAGAAGAGAAAGAACAGAGGACATCTCGTTTACGTCATAATCCAACGTTTCTGGATTGCACGTGAAAATAATTGTAGCACGTTAAATATGTACATGAAAACATATGCTTCACTAACATATGCCTACAAATACTGCGTGAATTGATCATATATTGGTTAAAATTATGTTCAATTCTTTTAAATGCTGCCTTGATTACATTTAAATGTCAAGCTACTACAAATGGCGATTGTTTAAAAGGTATTAAAGTGACGCCAAACACCATCCTAAACACTCGCTTGGGCACGCGGAAATCCACGGCTACTCAAGCATCTGGCTCTTGGGGAGGATTAAGCATTGGAGAGAAGGCATGTTCTCCACCAAGAAACCTGAGCTTAATAGGGTATGAAAACGCATGCAAGGGGCATTAAATAAAGGCATGCACTTTTCTCTATCGATCTACAGAGCGTCGCCATCAAATTATGGTACGAGCGTAAAGCTGAAGGATATTTTGTTGTTCTCTGTTGAGCAGACCGTTCGGTTAGGAATTAAATTATTTACGTTTTTTTTTTAGATTTTCCTTTTACTTAAGCCAGGTTTTGACAATGAATAATTTCTTTAAAAAAATAATGAAGGCCCTAGAAAAGCAATACCAAAGCTGATCAATAACTGACGGCAGCTGTCGTTGAAGACTGTTTCCCTGCCCGCACCAGTTCTGTAGCCTCCCGACGCCTTTTTAAAGACCCGCGTGCGGGAGCTGCGCCGGGCGGTGAAAGTGGGATTGGTCGGACATGTAGATAAAGACAACATATAAACTCAGTCCCCGCCCCCGGCCCCGGCCCCGGCCCCGGCCCCGGCCCCGGCCCGCCGCTGACCTGCCGAGCGCGCGGCGCTGTTCAGACGTGATGGACGACACTTGGACGGCGTCAGCGGCCGACAGCACGTCGTCGCAGCGGCGCATCACGGGCCGCAGGTGGGCGCTGAGCGCGGTCTCCACCAGGCCGAACTCGTCGTCGCCCGGCGGCGAGCCCCCCGAGGCGTCCGACACGTCCAGCGTCGTCTGTTCCTGATCAGCGCTGCTGCTCAGCGCCGCCGCCAGCATCGGCGCCCGCTCCGTCGCCGCCTGCTCGCTGGAGCCGGCGGCGGGAGGCTCCGGCTCCGGCGCGGATCCCGACTCCGGCTCCGAGTCCGTCCCCATGGCTGCCGGCGACGACGGCGGGTTTGCCTCCCCGTCCGGCGAATGGACGCATGTTTATGGGACGGGATAGTGATAAGAGGCTTGGGTACACGCTAGACGGAGGCGACGCACTAGTTTAGGGAGACGGCCTGACCCGTCATACGTGACCTTGGAATGCACAGGGGCAGAGCTGACCAACACACACACACACACACACGCACGCACGCACGCACGCACGCACGCACGCACGCACGCACGCACGCACGCACGCACGCACGCACGCACACACACACACACACAATCAGGTTTTCAAAGAAAACGTTTCAAAATGTATTCCTCGATTCAGTTACCCTGTTTACATGGGCAGCTGTGATTCGAATTAAGCCGGGACCCGTCCTCGATCCGAACTATCCGGCCCATGTATATACCCGGTTTACATGGGCAGCCGAGGATAATTCGAATTAAGATCGGAACGGATCATGCGACGTTAACCCTCTCGGCGAAGGGCGTTTACATGGGCGAAACCGGCTTTACGTCGGATTAACGGTCGATAGTTCGATCCCGCTTAGCTCGAACCAAGGAACGGGTTATGGGCGAAAACTGCGCTTTTGAGGCGAACTGAACAAAACAAGAAGAAAAAAGCCGGTACTCTGCGTATGGATGGCGAATGTCACGGGCCATGGTGGGCGCGAGACAGCTTTGAGGGCGAGGAGGAAGATGGACTCCGTTGGAAAAATGATCTGTGCGGGACTCATAGGCTTTGTAGCTACAGCACAAGCCATAGCACTTGAAACACAGGAGTTGCGCAGTCAGCACTGCCAAATCTGTCACATAAGCAGTGTTATATGCAAATTTTTACTAGCAGGAAACTGGCTAGCACGAAATCAGTATTTTCTTGTATTGGCCAATGACACTCACAAACTTACCACACTCATCAGTATGCCACCCAACATCATGTCATCTACTTTGCGCAGCCCAAGAAACACATTACCTAATCCCACACCAATGCATTTAGGAGCAGCCTGCAACAGTGAGCTAAGCTACAGAAATGACTCATGGATGCTACATAGTTAGTGGCAAAAATTGTGTAACTATGTTGTCTTTCCCCATCCAATGCATCATCAGTACCTGAGGGCAGCATTGCCATTTAGACTTGGCATGGACTGGCAAGTCAGAATGCAGCTATTTGCTTTCTTGACATACTATGGTTGAAATACTACTTTGATATCCTTGCAGTCAACAGCATTGGCTGATATGGACTGATGGCTAGGTGGCACAAACAGCCGTGTTCGCACAGTCCAAAGATCATAATGTGAACCAGCCCCAGAGCTGTCATGACAAAAGCAATCTGGGCTCAAAATTCATAACAAATGATTAATTATAGCAACAGCTCAATTATCCACCTCATGGCTTGCAAAGATACATGTCACAAAAAAGCACCAAGGCAACATATTTACTCACCAGTACAAAAACAGGTAGATGTGCACTGCAGATGTTCTCTGCACATCATGTGGCATTAGGTTAGGTTTACTTAGTTTATGCACTGTTTTCTTCCACATGAAATGCACAAACCTGAATTTGACAGAGTACTGATGACAGCTAATTTCATCCAGCGCTCACATTTGCTTTCTTGACATTTTGGAACCATCACTGGGCAATTTTGGTCCCATCATTAAAAATAGTTCACATTCTGCACTGACTGCAATGATCTATTGCCTATATTTGTTGATCCTTTGCATCATGCAGGAATTATTGAGTTACCTATCTCACAAACATTAAACCGACAAGCAACAAACAGCCTAATTGCATCAAAAACAAATATTCCAGCCCCCGCTTCCTTGCCAGTTGGTCTACCAGTGTGACGTAACTTCATATTTCCTTGACAAGCCAGTCACCAATATCCAGCACATCCCTCCTGCCAATAGGTGGTCAACCAAATGTTCAAGTCACAGGAGGAATGTCTGCAAAATCAATCCTGGGGCATTTATGTATTCACCTAATGAAAGAAACTATTGGTACTCCCTGCAAGAATTGTTGAACAGTTGAATTACCTACCTTGTGGCCTGCAAAGACACCCATCACAAAAAAAGCACCAAGGTGACATATTTAATCACCAGCACAAAAACAGGTGATGATGACACAGACGTGTTCTCCATGCAGCATGTGCCATCATGTTAGGTGTTAGTTTATGCACTGTTTTCCTGCACATGGAACACACAAACTTGGATTTAGCGGAGTGATGATGACAACTATTTTCATCCAGTGTTCACATTTGCTTTCTTGCTGTTTTGACCCCATCATTGGGCAATTTCGGTCCTACCATTAAAAAAGTTCACATTCCGAGCTGACTGCAATGATCTATATTTGTTCATCCGTCATATCATGCAGCAATTTTTAAGCTACCTTTCTCACACAAATTAAACTGACAAGCAACCAGCATCCTAATTTAAGGAACATCTGCAAAAACACTCCTGGGGACTTCAGGTATTAACTTAATGAACGAAACTCGGAGGCATTCTCTGCAAGAATTTTGAGCAATCCAAAAATTAAAATGAGAACAAGTCAAAGCTATATAAAATAACCATATTACCTCCATCTGGCTTTTGGAAGCATGGAGCCTGCCCCAGATGTAAACTAATCTAACCTTTAGGCGGAAAGATAGCACCAAACACCGTCGACGCCTGCTGTCTGCATAGATCAAGCGCCTAGCAAGGCTAAATTACGTGAGCATTTCTGTGCTGCTAGCCACTCAAGGCCCTCAATAATAAGAGTAGTTTTAGCAGCATGATGTCAACTTCACCTTCCTTCTCTTTTCCCTTACCATCTTGGACTTGAACCGTCTCGAGCAATAGCTAAAAACCCGTGGAAAAGCGGTAACACCGCACAAAGCTGAAATGGCTATGAACAGAACTGCGTGCGCCAGGCATTTTTCTTTTTTTTTTGTTTAGACAGCTGACGGCCGATAATTCGGACGAAATCCCTTCCTGAACGGATGATCCTCTCACGGGAAGGGATTTCCTCCGGCGCACGATTCGAATCAGCGGAACGGCGCGTGAGTGTATACATGGGCCGGATAGTTCGGATCGAGGACGGGTCCCGGCTTAATTCGAATCACAGCTGCCCATGTAAACAGGGTAATACACTCACGCGCCGTTCCGCTGATTCGAATCGTGCGCCGGAGGAAATCCCTTCCCGTGAGAGGATCATCCGTTCAGGAAGGGATTTCGTCCGAATTATCGGCCGTCAGCTGTCTAAACAAAAAAAAAGAAAAATGCCTGGCGCACGCAGTTCTGTTCATAGCCATTTCAGCTTTGTGCGGTGTTACCGCTTTTCCACGGGTTTTTAGCTATTGCTCGAGACGGTTCAAGTCCAAGATGGTAAGGGAAAAGAGAAGGAAGGTGAAGTTGACATCATGCTGCTAAAACTACTCTTATTATTGAGGGCCTTGAGTGGCTAGCAGCGCAGAAATGCTCACGTAATTTAGCCTTGCTAGGCGCTTGATCTATGCAGACAGCAGGCGTCGACGGTGTTTGGTGCTATCTTTCCGCCTAAAGGTTAGATTAGTTTACATCTGGGGCAGGCTCCATGCGTCCAAAAGCCAGATGGAGGTAATATGGTTATTTTATATAGCTTTGACTTGTTCTCATTTTAATTTTTGGATTGCTCAAAATTCTTGCAGAGAATGCCTCCAAGTTTCGTTCATTAAGTTAATACCTTAAGTCCCCGGGAGTGTTTTTGCAGATGTTCCTTAAATTAGGTTGCTGGTTGCTTGTCAGTTTAATTTGTGTGAGGAAGGTAGCTTAAAAATTGCTGCACGATATGACGGATGAACAAATATAGATCATTGCAGTCAGCTCGGAATGTGAACTTTTTAATGGTAGGACCGAAATTGCCCAATGATGGGGTCAAAACAGCAAGAAAGCAAATGTGAACACTGGATGAAAATAGTTGTCATCATTTCTCTGCTAAATCCAAGTTTGTGTGTTCCATGTGCAGGAAAACAGCGCATAAACTAACACCTAACACGATGGCACATGCTGCATGGAGAACACGTCTGTGTTGCATATCATCACCTGTTTTTATGCTGGTGATTAAATATGTCACCTTGGTGCTTTTTTGTGATGGGTGTCTTTGCAGGCCACGAGGTAGGTAATTCAACTGTTCAACAATTCTTGCAGGGAGTACCAATAGTTTCTTTCATTAGGTGAATACATAAATGCCCCAGGATTGATTTTGCAGACATTCCTCCTGTGACTTGAACATTTGGTTGACCACCTATTGGCAGGAGGGATGTGCTGGATATTGGTGACTGGCTTGTCAAGGAAATATGAAGTTACGTCACACTGGTAGACCAACTGGCAAGGAAGCGGGGGCTGGAATATTTGTTTTTGATGCAATTAGGCTGTTTGTTGCTTGTCGGTTTAATGTGTGTGAGATAGGTAACTCAATAATTCCTGCATGATGCAAAGGATCAACAAATATAGGCAATAGATCATTGCAGTCAGTGCAGAATTTGAACTATTTTTAATGATGGGACCAAAATTGCCCAGTGATGGTTCCAAAATGTCAAGAAAGCAAATGTGAGCACTGGATGAAATTAGCTGTCATCAGTACTCTGTCAAATCCAGGTTTGTGCATTTCATGTGGAAGAAAACAGTGCATAAACTAAGTAAACCTAACCTAATGCCACATGATGTGCAGAGAACATCTGCAGTGCACATCATTACCTGTTTTTGTACTGGTGAGTAAATATGTTGCCTCGGTGCTTTTTTGTGACACGTATCTTTGCAAACCATGAGGTGGATAATTGAGCTGTTGCTATAATTAATCATTTGTTATGAATTTTGAGCCCAGATTGCTTTTGTCATGACAGCTCTGGGGCTGGTTCACGTTATGATCTTTGGACTGTGCGAACACGGCTGTTTGTGCCACCTAGCCATCAGTCCATATCAGCCAATGCTGTTGACTGCAAGGATATCAAAGTAGTATTTCAACCATAGTATGTCAAGAAAGCAAATAGCTGCATTCTGACTTGCCAGTCCATGCCAAGTCTAAATGGCAATGCTGCCCTCAGGTACTGATGATGCATTGGATGGGGAAAGACAACATAGTTACACAATTTTTGCCACTATGTAGCATTCATGAGTCATTTCTGTAGCTTAGCTCACTGTTGCAGGCTGCTCATAAATGCATTGGTGCGGGATTAAGTAATGTGTTTCTTGGGCTGCGCAAAGTAGATGACATGATGCTGGGTGGCATACTGATGAGTGTGGTAAGTTTGTGAGTGTCATTGGCCAATACAAGAAAATACTGATTTCGTGCTAGCCAGTTTCCTGCTAGTAAAAATTTGCATATAACACTGCTTATGTGACAGATTTGGCAGTGCTGACTGCGCAACTCCTGTGTTTCAAGTGCTATGGCTTGTGCTGTAGCTACAAAGCCTATGAGTCCCGCACAGATCATTTTTCCAACGGAGTCCATCTTCCTCCTCGCCCTCAAAGCTGTCTCGCGCCCACCATGGCCCGTGACATTCGCCATCCATACGCAGAGTACCGGCTTTTTTCTTCTTGTTTTGTTCAGTTCGCCTCAAAAGCGCAGTTTTCGCCCATAACCCGTTCCTTGGTTCGAGCTAAGCGGGATCGAACTATCGACCGTTAATCCGACGTAAAGCCGGTTTCGCCCATGTAAACGCCCTTCGCCGAGAGGGTTAACGTCGCATGATCCGTTCCGATCTTAATTCGAATTATCCTCGGCTGCCCATGTAAACCGGGTAAGTGTCGTAGCACAGCGCATGGGGCTTATGGCGTCGTGTCCAGCAGCGGCTTAAAAGGATCTGCTTAACCGAGAGAGGCTTCCCCAGCTAAAGGGCCCCTAAGCTCGGCTTACCACTTCCTGGGCGAAATCCTGGTTACGTGGCGGACTCAATATGGCACGTTAAAAACATAGGTGAAACCATTGTATCACCCAGACATCGGTCAGGACAACATTCGGATGTCACTCATAAAGTTAAAAATACCTTGACTATCATCCATATCCGCAAAACGCTCGAAGCTTCCAGTCCTGCAAAAAAAGAGTCATGATCAGATGATCGAAACGATCAGAATGATCGGTTTCTGTACTCGGCTTTTTCATCTCCAACTCTGAAACGATCTTTCAAGGCAAATCAGAGCCATTCGTAGAACTGCCGTCCATTGACAAAAAAGGCCTAGGTGTCGTCAAGTTAAATTGTCCCAGAAAAACATTTCCAGATACCGTTGAAATAAACATGCTGATATTATTTGAAAGGATTTTTAAAAAAAAATAAGCTGAATTTTTCTCAAACGTTGCCTTTTCATCAGATGCAGATTTCAAGATGTATTTCTTCGAACGACGTCAAACCATATGAACAACTTCCATTTCCAAAACATGGCATTTACGCCTTTATAACTTCGGACGGCAAAGATGTCCTTGATACAGCGCAATTCGCAGGGACAACCGTCCAATCATTGAGTAGTGTGTGCCATCGGGCTTTATATTCTTAGAGCACGGTGAGCCAATGGAACTTGGTGCGCAATGACAACTAAATACAACAATAATTTTTTCCCCAGATCGATCAGGAACTCAGGCTGCGCAAGCCGATTTTAAGTCGTCCCTATTAATTATGCATTACTGACAGCGAGAGTGCTGCCACCTAACAGCAAGAAAATCCAGCTGAAAGGCGTAATTAGGTTAGTTGTTTCGCAGTGCATGATGCATGATGGAATCAGCAAGAATAATTCATAAAAGCCTTCTCACTTCTTTCATAGCGCAGTACGTAGATATCAGGTAACCATCGAAAATATGACACAGGGCTGTCCTTTCGCAACATTACTGAGAGCCCAGAGAGTGTCCTGAAATCGCTTTTTACTTAGGTGAAGGAGAGATGTCACCACTAAAGAAGAGGTCGAAACATTATAAAATTTCCGACATGTCACATGTGCGACATGTAACGACACAAAAATTGGTTGAAACAAACAAAATCTGACTGATTGCTAATTGTTTCCTGTCGCTTCCTTTTTAAGGTATAATCACCATACTGCTGGTCTAGTACCCTGCTCAAGTACATGCGTTTCCCAATTCCACACCTCCTCGCCATTCACTGTCCACTAAAGACCATGTTGTTACAGTATGATAGTAAATCGTGATAATAAGCAACGTTTGTTTTATCTGAGTTGGTAGAAAATATACATCAGATGCCAGGCGGTCTCTAGGAACCCGAGCTAGCTGTTTAGAGTCCCCCCTCCCCCCAACTCAGCTCCCAGCCCAGCTGATAAGAGTACATCATACACCGGAAACCATGTTGCCCCGATCTCAACTCCGCAGACGATGAACACAACAATTTTTCACGGCGTGGCATGGCGTTGAGGGGCTCTGGGCCTGCCAACAAGATTTCTTATTAAATATACGTAGAACGAGTTAAATATATCCGATGGGTGTTGCTCATCCCTCCCCCTCCTCCCCGACAGATCCTACCAAAACACTTCCACAACGGATGGATAGCGATGTGGCACACCTTTATTATCGGACAGGTGTTGAGACCGAAGCTGTCGGATCACTGTTTCCGACCACACCTAGCAAAAACGGCGACGGCGACGCAGTTTGGATGGCAATGAAAACCAGATAGTAATTCTGACCCTGATTCGCGGTTTTTAATAGCATGGACTGATAGGGGGGGGGGGGGGCGATGCGCCTCCCTGCCGTTCCTAAACTAAAAAAGGTGGAGCCTCGAGAAAAAATTACAGTGCATTGTTCTATACGAGATCTAGCGGCTGACAATAACTGCGCGTCCCTAGGCTACACACTGTCACTAATACGCCAGGTCAAAGGTAAGATTTTCTCAACATTAACAGATTTGTTCGGCTTTACATGTTCTTATGCACAGGGCCATGCCTCCTGGCGACGCAAAACTTCAACAGGCGTATGTGTTGTCCGATTCTGAATACAATGGAATGTAATCTGTCTCCAGCGTACGCATCTGATAAAGGGTTCAGTCGATGCGACAGTGTCGGCCCACCGCGCCAGACCGCGCAATGGTAGGTTGCCGGCCTCCGCCCACACCGGCAGTAGATCGCCAGGCAAGGCTCCCAAACTACCGTCGCTCCCAAGAAACCCGAAATTCAAGGGACACGTTTATGGCGCCAGAACACGCGCAATACATAACACAGAAGGCATCCAAATTTCGGTGCGATTGCACAGCATACCCGACAGGTACCACAAGAAAAACCTAATGGGGTGGTTCACAAGACCCCCTCCCCCCCCCCCCCCCTATGAAGGCTAGGCTTTATGTATCAAATAATCCAAGGCTCACTTAAAACGCTACTCGATGGCCGATTATTTTCAACAAGCACAGGCAGGAATTCCTGGGAGAGTCATACGTTGAACACCGTATGGTGACCGTGGGTGTGACTTTCAGGGGGGGGGGGGGCAGATCATATCCTGCAATGAGGCTTAGGTCACACTAAAAAGGTTAATGTTTTAACAGCAAGCCTCGACAATGAATAACGAACGGAGTGACAATTCAGTTACAAAAATCTGCCAAATGATCTTTGGGTGTACGTGAACATTGCTAAATTGCAGATGGTACCATGTGATGTGTTTTAAATTGACCTGGGTGAATCCAGTAATAAGTGTGCTGAAAAAACTTGTTCTCACCTCATACTGACCCCCATTGCCCCATATAAGGAAAATCAAGACAAGGATTGATAAGCACACCCAGGATCATGCCACCGAAGTTTAGGAAGTTGGATTTTGATTACCTGAGGAATGCACGTTTTTACAATTCCCCGCTGAAATTACTTATTTCTGACATGTGTATGCCCCTCGCATTCCAGTTAAAGGGAGTGTGCCTAGTCAAGTTGGGATTTTTAGCTGTGCACGTAGGATGGCAGGGAATTTCAAATTGAAGGTTTTGTTGCTATTGGTTTCTACTAATTCGCCTCCACTGACGAGATCTAGTCACAACCCCCCAAGATTGCTTTGATTTGTATGGAAGAGCGAAGTTATCGGGTAGCCCACAAGCAAAATTCACTACTAAACACATCGAAATCATTGAGAAGGTATTGTTAGTTCTAGCCAATGGCTTTTCGAGGATGTCGCTTGTCAGCGTTGACAGCAGTTTGCGAGCGCAGCGATGGTGGCGCCCGATATGTTAATGTTTGTTTTTTTTTACATTCAGCTGAGGGCTGTGAGTGCCCGGGTTTGGCCGTGTGGTACGGCTGGTCAGTTGATACGCACCGCAATTAATTCACGTTGACCTACTTTATGTTGAGATGAGGCACAAGCATTGTGTCGTGTCAATCGGCTACACCAGGCTGTATGAAAATACGATTGTTGTACGTTGTTTTGGCAGCGTCTGTAGGCGGCTCCAATGCCTATACCCTGATATAAATGACCGCATTTCGAATGCACGTGCACCGAATTCAGTGTTCGAAATAGCAGGACACATGCGCTGTTATTGTTGCTGCGATGTCGCTGGTACACCAGGCATGTTCAGGGTATCACATTTTTCCGTCTCGAATCACGCAATGGATCTGCAAGTGCGTAACCCTCTATACCGCCAGCGCTCTCCCTATCACTAAAGCGCGGTTACTCACCACATGCATTCGTCCTTTCCTATCCAATGATTGGTTCATTTTTGGCGGTGTAATTGCGCAAGACCCAACGCACATTTAAGCGCCAAAATTAACCATGGGTAGTTGCAAAACCCCCCTTGGCGTGAATTTGGAAAATAGAAAATATTAGAAACACTCCCTTTAATCTCTACAATCCCGGTCCTCCCCATTGCAGAGATGTGGTTATGCCCGGAACTCAGACTACACACAATGATATACAAAGTGTCACCGCTAGTCACAGCTGTTACCCAACATCCACTGCGAGATTATGCTTAGTTTGGCACCATCATACACGTACGGCAAAAGCCAGCTATAGCATTACAGACCTTTTCGGCTTCCACCACACTCATTTTCGCAGCCACACAGATGTCGGTTGCGACGAGAAACACAGCAACGTCAACGTAAACCAGTGAACATAATCGCAGTGAGCAACCGCCTATGTGCTACCTCCAAGGGCTACATCCACGTGCTGTCACGTATCAGACCATTGGAACAAGGTGAATGGAGTTGAGACAAACACAAGCATGAACTCGCATCTCTCCTAAGCTACCTTTATGATCAATCATCTTCATTGTGGTAATAGCTGATGACGTTTGTGACGCAGAAGCTTTTCCGCGCAGGCAGATTCGGATTCCAAAATGTGGATGCCGTAATATAACGGTGTTAAACATAATGGGCAATTAATGTTTATTGAATGGAAACGAAATATTTTGGATCCAAAACGCAAGCGTAAGCATGTAACAGTCTCAAATGGAATTTCTAGACGATAAACACAGTGAAGACACCTTCAAATTTAAAATAGGTGCCTGCTGTGTTCGAGACGGTTTGTGTACTGTTCGGGTGCTTTAGCAGGCTGAAAAAGAAAAGAACGTGGCCATAAATTGCCAATGGTGTAGTTTTAAATCAAAATAATCATTTCCGTACTGATGTAGAACCTGGAAGGCAACAATTCGCAACGACGACACGTTTCAACACCATCCAAAAATATTACATTTTTGAGCCATTTCACGGCAATGAAAGGTAAAAAAACCCTGAGATGTGAGGACAAGGCATCAGACTTTCCGAAAGTAGTGATGCAAAGCACAAGCCATGTCTTGAAAATGGGGAAAACCTACGGCGGGTTTGAGTGGGCCTATCCCGACGTTATTCTGCTCGCCAGTTCTTGGAAGACACCGATATTTCTATTAATCTGGCAGTCATGTGAGGGCTTCATTTTGCTGGCGTTACAACTGCTAAGCACTGAACACAAACGCAGGCTGTTCGTAAGCCACCAAATACAGGACTATCTCCAGGTCGGGGAATGCCAAGGGGAGGGTAAGTGCCGCGCGAATGCTGGGGTTTCATGTTCGCCACATTTACTGTTTGTGCTTCGATGCTTGCCCCGTGCACGCCTATGTTTAAGTGTCATGCAACCTGGCAACCCAGTGAGTC